CGAGACCCATCATGGTGCCAGGCTTCACCATGACAGGACTAACGGCGCGTCTATGCCAGGACTGGAGCCGCAATTGCAAAGCAGATCTGCGCATTGGGAAACATTTTCCCACACCGCGTCACCGAGCCCATGAGATCTCCCTGCGGGAGCTCCCATTCGCTAGCAGCGCGAATGCACAAAAATGGGGGTGGTCGTGGTCTTATCAGGGTGCTTACTGCTCCTAAAAGCATGAGCACCATCGTTTTTAAGCAACATATTACCTGGTCTGTGAGCTTTAGGGCTCGATAGTCGTCTACGATGCTGGAGATTGTAGGGTGTATGCTGATGTACCCTCTTTGCCCAAAAAGTCCTCTCCAGGGCATCTTTCAACATCTCCATATACGTAGCCGCTTCCTTCCTTTCTCTTCTCATTGAGTCCATGTGGCCGGCTATGAAATTTCAATCTTCAGTCGTGGGCGAGGATGCTTGCAGCTTCCGAAGATTAGAAGGAACGAAGTAAACCAACCTTGAACATAGTAAAAACACTCCGACATTGCGAAAAATAAAGGACAGGCAGACACAGTCTTAATTAACTAGCACCAGCTCGTTTTCGCCCTAAACTTCTTTTCACAAATGAACCTTTTTTCATATGTCTGTTCTCCACCTGTGGTCGAATATTTTTTCTACATCAAAAGTATTTTTCTGATAACATTCAAGAGACAAAGGAGCCTACAAGACCGAAATCAATAGTTTAAGGAGCTCAATAATCAGAGATTACTCAGTTAGTTCAACGCCTCCTAGATCGCAAGGCCTTAGTGTTGCTGGATTCTACCCCCTCTCACAGGTCATCGCAAGGCAGACTGGAAAAAGTGCTGCATTTGCATTCAGCAGGAACACGTATTCTCACCAACTGAACACGAGTTCTAGGCCAATGCTAACATAGCACTGTCCACTTTGTACCCTGCTCTGAAATATGGTAATCCACAAAGAAAACCAAGTGCTAAGGTATTGGTATTTAGGAGGTGTTAGGCCAACTCAAAATTAAAGTGTCCTTTAAATGAAGCTATAGCAACATTTTGTGTCGTGATGACAACTGTTCATGTGATGTGCAAATTTCTTTTTACGTGACTTGTTTTTATTTTTGTTTCCGGTAGCTTCTGTTCCAAAATGACGATGCTACGTGGTATAAATCTATGCTTTATGTAAGATACTGTCATAAAGCATAGTGTCTGTCATAACCAGAATTTATTAATGCGAAATTGAATGACAGTCAAGACGAGAAAATTGCACCCTAAAGGGCCCCTGAAAAAAAAAAAGATTTTTTTTAAACAGTTTGTAAGGGACAGTGTCAAAAAACAAATTTTGCGCAAAAACATTTTTTTTAGAAATACTGACGGCGCGAGATTAATTTTCCATTAATTTCATGACGTAACGGAATGGTAATACGCAATTTCAACCTCAATAAGATTGTGATACCATTTCTCCACCTCAACGCGATGGCCAAGGCAATCCACCTCTCCTCCCCGCACCCGAAAGGCCGAGAGAAAACAAGTGGAAAGGACGTGATTACCGACCAAATCGCGTCTCGCGCAATCACTAACTATTTTAGCAGTGACCCATGATCTTTATTTTATGTATGTGCCTCTCCCCCTCTGTAATGCCGTCGGGCCCTGAGGGTACTTTCAATAAACAAATAAATAAATAAATATTGTTCTAAGTTTTTTTTTTATTCGGGTAAAATTTATTTTTTGACACGCGTGTCCTAACCAGACTGTTTTAAAGTGCTCAGAGTCCAAAGCAATGAAAATGCTCAGAGCCCAAAGCAAACACAGCTATCAAATAACAAGCATACAAAAAAAAAAAAAAGAAAAACCTTTTAACCGAAGATTACAAGAGCAGCTTTAGAAGAATATAAAACACATTACGAAGCCACGAGCACAAGATAAGTTACACAGGGCGAAACCAAACTCCGAAGAGAGGATCTCAAAAGCAAAAGTATTACAAGACAAAACACCTCCACGCTGGGCTCTATAAACAAACGCATCGTTACAGCATTCAAGTTCAATTCCTATTTGGTGATTCCCGACCATGGTTTAAACTATAAACCGTTACGCGGAGCCGACCAGCATCGGCCGAAACATAGAGGGCCGAAAGACGCTCGGAAACCCGCAGAGAAAGTAAAAACATAAAAGTGATGCTTCACTAAACGCGCGCGTGCACGACTTCGCGGCACCGCTCAATTTCGTGGACACATGCTCCTACAACGTTTCGCCGACTTTGTTTTGTTTTTTTCACCACGGGGATTGCATTACTGGTTTAATTTCATTCACCGGAAGCCTACTTCAACTAAAGCGGACTTGCCCAGGCGACTCTGATACGCCACAAATGAATTCGCGATCGCCGCTTTCAAACAGTCCGCACCGCACTACGCGCTGAAACCCCTGGCTCCGCTCGGGGAAACTTTAATATTGATCGAGAACATGTTTATTTACTCATACCGGATACAACCATACCCCTCGCCTAAGAGCGTAAGGGCGAAACTTTACTCTCGAGGCGCGAACTCGCACCAGGCCTCATGCGAACGCAACGGTTTCGTCAAGCTCGCATCGCCTTGGTCGCCGACCGAGGCGATATGTGCAGAAAGACGCTTTCGATGAAGCGTCGCAAGGTTGGTGGATGACCCGAACACGGGAACTTTTCGATGAACCTAAGTCGCATTAAAACGGTGCTGCGTCGACGAAAGGATTTGCCGGTGTAACATCGTTTGTTTGATGAACTGATTGCCGCCGGGCATAGTTTTGAAGTGCTAGGCGTCGTTTGCACGCTAACATGAGCGAGTACGCGCCCAACCGCGTCAGAGAGCGAGCGCCTATCGTACAGGGTAAACCTCCGAGTTTATGAAGTACGTTCTGAAATGCCTATAACATTTCTGCTGCTCTACAAGTAGCCAAAGCAATCAAAACTCACCGTTCAAACGGTCGCCACTCCGACTGCATCCAACGAGGCTTCCACTACACCGCCACAGGTCAACTGGGTCAACTGTCACCTCCAGTTCAAACTCGGGCGCGCGCGCTGCAGTCGGAGAGTATGTAGCCTCGACACCGGCGCCTCCGCGTCGCTCGGATTCCGTTCAAGGTTCCGTTCTCATGTTTTTCGCGGTCGGAAACATTCACCAAATATGCGCGTGTAGTCACAATTTCTGAATCCCGGGGCCAAAATCTTGTTTTGTCAAGTCTTCTTTCCAAAATAGCGACTCGAGTGATGCTTCGTCCACTTCATCGAAGGCTTGCGGCAGCCATTATTGACGAGGGGACCAAAGTATTCATTAGGAGAGCAACTCCAGTGGGAGCAAAAAAATGCCCGCGGGACGAACTGCTCGAGTTACCGCTTCTGAATAGGGGGCGCTAGGTTCGCGGGGATGAAAGATGGCGATTGGTCTCTTTGCGCACCCTTTTTTTTAAGAGTGTGTTGTCGGGGGATTGCGGATAAGACCATAGAATATCTCGCTCTTTACACCCCTCATCAAGTGGCGTTGCTTTTCTCCTCGCTAGCGTGATGGTCGGCGCGGGCGCTCAGGCGAGGAACATCTTCAACGAAACTGTTGATATTTTCATTTCTGCCTCGGGTCCTTGTTCAAGAAATGTTTTCGGCCCTCTCGCGTCGGCGTTGACTAGTAAACGTGTTCTTCAGTTCTAGCGTACACAGATCCCACGAGGTTAAAGAAACCTTGTGGTTCTAAAGCTAGTACGTTGCCGTCCCTTTCAGCGAGAAGCAGATGTTCTGCAATCATTTTTCAGGTGTCCACCCATTATGGCAGGCCACACGTTCATAGTCTTGCAGCCAGCCTTCAATGTCCTCGTGAACCTCCCCGTGGAAAGGCGTCGGAATCCGGAGTGCGACGGGAAGTTATACGACGGCGTTGGCGGCCGGGGTCTGCGACGACAGATTGTCCATCATCGGCCTCGTTGGCTGCTTGGTCTTGAGTAGCAAGGGTTCAAGTTCCGGAGGTAAGCGTTGGTGGCGGCGACTTGATCTGGTCTCGGTCTGGTCTTCGTTGAATCTTCGGGGGCTTGGGTTCGGACTTGCACTCCGGGCGCCCTCGGAGGGCTGCGCTGCATGGACATGCGTTACGCAGCACTTCCAACAGAATGTCACGAATGATGAGGTGACGAAAAAAAAAATAACTGAGGACACTAAAAATTTTCATGGGCGATCTTGCGCTCAACACCAAAAAGGAAACAGAGGAAAACAAGAGAGCGTTGCGAGCGTCGAAGTCTGCGTAACAGCAGGATCGAACATTTGGGCGAGACTGACCACGGCTCGGCACGCGGAACCCCTTATGTACACGCGTGGGCTTCTGCAACAGCCGGTGTAAAATGCTCGGCGCGTCCAGCATTCGGGCCTCGAACAAGCAACAGTATTCTCAAATTTACCAGAACATTAAATTGCAAGAACAAACAAAAGACGCGCCACTCCCAGGAATCGAACCATGGCTCTTCGCGCGAGAGGCAAGCACGATAAGCGGTAGGCCGCGGCCGCGCTGCCTACTTGGCCAGCTGCGCGCGCGGCAATCTGATTTTAACTGAATCGTAAAATAATCCAGAGAAACGATACAATCCTCATGGTGACATATCCACTTATGTCTAACGTCAAAATTTAAAAATGACTGGTAAATATAACAAACCTAACATATACAGAGAAATATAGTTGTATTTAAATGCAGATTCAATTTGCTCAGCCAAAACCCGACATCAGAAATGGCATTGTGGATGACTGTCTCTATTAGTTTAGTGAAGGAAGTTTGTCACACAAAAATAAACCCCTAATATTTATTAAGCGACCGCGAGCCTCACATTCTCTCAAATCTCCAATTTCCCGAATCTGTAGTTTCAAGAAACATGCCAAAAAATAGTATATTTATACTTGTCCTTAAAACATGCAAGTTGAAAGTCAGCATAATACTTGTCGCGAAAGTAATATGAGTATTGCTAACGTAATTGCTTTAGGTTCCATGTTCTTACCCAGAGAGGAAAGCAACGACATCCTGAGCATCACGCCGCCATGATCGATAGACAAAATGATTAAGGGGTTTTAAAGTGTTGCAAACCTTTAAGTATCTACCAGGAGTTAATTCTAAGTGTGCTTCACTCTAAAACACAATGAAAGGCATTAGGAATTAGTTTTTTGAGTGACCGATAAATATGATAATAATATATTAAGTACAAGTAATTTTTCAATGCCAACAATGACAAAATGAGGCCTTGGGTTTTGCAGCGCAGTGTACAGGAGGTTTACCTGTAAAAAGGAGAATATGGTGACCACAGTAAAAACATCATAAGCTGCAAAACTTCATTTTGGCCAATCGTTCAAAGTCGCAAGGCTGTGTTGCGGCGATCGATCCAGGAAGCCCTAATAGTCTGCGAATATATTGGGGTGGCCTATTCCGCTTCTGACAAAACGTGAAAACACAGCTTTTCATCCGCTTACTTTTAATGAATTGATTAGTTGAATCATTAAGGGACCATCGGACGAAAAAAAGAACATGTTATGCCCATAATTACTATTCGGCGGGAAATATTTCGAGTTGTTCCGGAAAGTTTAATTGAAACCATTTTGCAAAGTCTCTGCAATCGCTACAATAAACCTCGACAAAATCATTCCTTTTAAAAACATCCATCGCAGCAAAAATAAAAGGTTGATCAGATATTGGTAACTCTTTGTCAGGTTTCCCATATAATATACTTACTAACGTTTGGTTTAATTCGGTGCGTTCTATTTTTTTTAGGAATTACATGCCATATGCTCAGTTTAAAATCACTGTTAAAAACAATTCCGGCCGTCATCGAAAACGGCCACAGTGGCATAACTTACAGAAATATAATGCCCAAGGACTTTTTAACTCTGCCCGAGAGCTGCGTAGTTCAGAAGCGTTTTATTTGATGATTTTTTTGCAGGAACGCATTTTAGCGCCAGCAAGCTTGTTTCCCGTAGCCAAGGCGCGCACCTACTGCCTCGGCTCACTCGTAGCAGAGGAGGAAATATACAGTACACATGACATGAAACAGTAAGCTTGGTTGTTGACCTCACAACATGCACGCAAAGAATTCCTGGTGGCTCAATATTTGAGTTCTTTCATAATGGGGAGCAGGCCCTTTGGCTTAAAGATACCCATCAATATTGAACAGTAACTTCCAAAATCGTATAAACAAATTGTTCTGTGAACGCCGTAAAATGCTGCGCTTGCAACATTTTTGGCGAAGCGCATGGATTTAGACTTTTTCGATGAAGAACAAGGAATATTTTAATTAGGGTTTACTTCTAAATATTCCTTTCAATATACTTCGGAAAAAAACAATAGTTCTAAAAGCGTAAATGTTTTATTTTAATACTATATATAACACTGATTCAATAAATTGTGTCTTGGGAAGAAATTCTGTGCGATGCACATTTTTCGCAGGAGAAATTTTGAGATCCTTGCGTTAGGCAGCCTGTTCATTGTTTCCTTCATTTTGTTTTTGTAATCACTACAAAACGTGTCAGTCAGTTTGTACACTAAACTCCTTTGTGACTGGCAAAGAGTAAACTGAAGAGGCTGTGGTCTTAAGCTAGATTAGCGAATATCAATGGAACGCAAATCGTTTAATAAATTATTGGATCTAGACCCATCTATGTCCACAGTGTCAAAGGTATGTTCAATATGTTTCATCTATAAGGCTGAATCACCTTCTTGCCTTATTTTCCTAGTTAATCTCGTTAAATATACAGATAATACGTTATACTCTTCTGAAAAATTCGATATAGTTAAAGGGTGTCGCGCTGTGAAAACGTCAAAATCGTTGAAGGTCAAGATTAGCAGATGAGCAGTCAATAAAAAAACAGTTTCCTCGTGTATCTCACGCTTCGTCTCTGACCATTCTTCAAGTCGCAAGTTTCCCTGGAACAAATGTTTACTTAGTGCGTTTTTTTATCCCATGATTTCTAAGATTACTGCGTGTTATATTGAACGTTGAGTAGTCAGTAATACCAATACATATTTTATAGAGTTGATGCACATACATTATGGTTTTTCTAAACTGCGGATTGTGGGTGTTTGGGGGGATGCCTTAGAATATGTAGATTAGATAGGTTTTTTCAAGTGTAAAACGATATGTTTATTATTAACTGCAGCATATATAATATGAAGAAGACTGTCCTGCTTAATATACGTAGACCAACCATAACTTCATAACCTTTTAGTTTCAATTTTAACCTCAGCAACTGCTCTCCTATGATCTCTTTTTCCCAATGTAGTGAGAGCATGATGTAATAATAAAATCTGAGCCAGCATAATTCAGTATGTAGTTTAACTGTAAACCATGAAGAAATGTTTAGAGTTAGAATGCATTTGATATACACAAATCAAAATTTAAAAGCTACCTCACACTCAACCAATATTAATAGCAGATATCATAAGAATTATAAATGCAGAGTGCTTGTCTAGTCTCCTTCTATTTGAATATACATTACAGAGGGTGGTATGTGCGAACAAAAAATCGCTCGTATTTTGCTGCTTTTTTGATGGCGCGCTGTCGCGATTTGCGATGCGGCGCAGCGGAATTCTGCACCGTCAGGGGGGCGTAAGCGCTACTCTGGAGCAGATTTAACCGAGTACACTAAGCAGAAAGAGGCCCTTTCGGTCTGCCTGCCGGATAATATACGCTTCCAGAACAACCCCGGACTGCCGAGTCATTATCGTCACAGCCATACTTAACACTAGCATAAATGATGGAGGTGTGTGAAAAACTAAGGCAAGCCAGCGCAGTGACATTGTCTTAAATTTGAAACGACGGCTCAATTATCTTTAATGAGGGCATAAAGCAAGTGAGGCTAGAACGGTCGTTTCTTGCAAACATAAACTTATCACAAGGTTGATTTGTTTAAGGATAAGCTCGGAGAACTAGATATTATTCAGGAGTAGTTTACATTCTGTTTAAAAAAACGCTGACTGTTTCACAAAAAAAAAAAACTTGCATGAATTTACTGCAATCAGTGAAACCATGCCAACCAATGTGGAAACTTCGAATACAGTTCTATATTTTAGAGCGCCTTAGGTGTAGAGTTTTTTTTTCTTTATTTCTGTCTTATGCAACAATGCTGCTTAACTTAATTTTGCTTTCTTATGCAAAACTGACCAGAGCTGTGCTAGTGGAAGGTTAAATCATCATTTACGACAAAATTGACGACAGAACACACGCCTATTTAATGTTTTATGCCTGTCCGAAACGCTGCGACGACAGCCGGCATAGGGCCGTGGCTACAGTAATTACGCCCGAATTTTATCTCAGCACTTGGAAACTATCTGTGATTATCAAATATTTGACTTGAACAGGATATTTTATTTATTACAAAGTTGTAGTTTTTTTTGAAGGAGGAATTGTACGAGTGTCGTATTCAGCGTGTAACAGGCTCGGCTGACAAAAGATGAGGCGATAATCATCCTGGTAACTTAGCTAAGTAATTAAAATTCGTCAATTGACATTTTATTTATTGGTTTTAAGAGCCGTGTTGAAACGTTCAATATTGACTGAAATAACAATTCGTGTTCAGATCAAATGAAAAATTGTTCGGAAATGTAAATATCTTTTTTTTTTTATTTTTCAATCAACCACCGCATTTCTTAGCGCGATTTCTGAAATAGCAATGGCCAACTTCTTGGGACATTCAGTGGAAAAATGGTACAAGTATAAATTTCCAAATTCTAATTAATATTTGTTTTATTATTCGCAGGTAATTACATTCCCGGGTCACGGGGAACATTTTGATATTTTATCAAGAGAGAAACATGAACAATTTTGTAAATGTAATCTACAAGATTCAATGCAAATAAAAGAAAAAAATGTGGAGCCCGGGAAGACACCTTTATACGCGTCATAAGGTTTAATTACAGCTTATTTATATTTTATGATTGTCATATAAAACATTGCAATGGAACATTGAGATGCTCCTGAATGTTCAGTTGAAAACTTATTATAGAGCATGCGCCATGGCATAGATGTCCAAGAAACTTGGAGATTGCACAAAAGGGGCGCCATAAGCCGTCACCACAATTACACTTTAAAGAGTGACGTAGTTGTTTCAGTCTTGTCATGCATATCTTGGAACTGACATTGATAAGTGCGCCGATAACGCAAGTGACGACACGACTCAAACAATTACGCCCGTGACTTTGTTTCGATAACATCCATAACGACCAAAGCTTCATAACATAAATGCTTACCTTATTCATTACAATCACCAAATATTGATTGAGGTAACTTCCTTTCTGTTCTTCAAGAGCATCGTCGTAGAGTATTCTCGTTTCAACGGTAACTGTTTCTGGAGAGTTCCGCAGGCGTTGTCTTGCCACTAAAATAAAATTTCAATGCGGAATGTAGTAATGAATACCTTGATTTTAATCATTTTATTTTTGTTTTATTAAAACTTAGACGCTCGAACATCTTAAGCATTATTGCGGGGTGCGAAATGCAATATAATAGAAATCAGCATTCTACCCAGGTACGACGCCAAACAAGCGCCTAACTTGGCAAAAGTATGGAACGCGTAGGGTCCTAACTTAAGCCTTGTGAGGTTTCGCTCCATAGCGCTTCTCTGTGGAAAACTACTTTGCCTACCTATGGCGCTATTTCGGCAAACCTGATTCATATCAAAGTTGTCTTCTGTCAAGAGTGCCAATAGTAAGTGCCATACCTGAGGCACAACTCCGAAAGTAAATCTTATTTAGGGATCCAGGAGAATGCCAAAGATTGACCTTCCTCTTGCCAGCCACTGGAGTGCCAAGTTAGTGCAGCAAATGCCAAAGAAATACCAAAGATACGGTAAAGTTTGGCTTTTTTTTTGTTTTTCTTTTTTGGGTTAGCCAGATAAGTGCTACCTAACATACACCGGGACAAAAACGACGAAACAGTTTGACGCAGGATTGTGATATATCGTCAGCCCCCTTAATATCGTCAAACGCAAAAATAAAAGGCTGCCGTTAAGTTTTGGTTTTGGGTTTGCGGAGTCTGAAGCAGGCGTGAACTGTGAAGCCACGACCTTTTTTTATGACCAGGCTTTAACAGTGATCAGCCGCAACGCAAGACAAGCACAGAGCTATGCCCCCTTTTCCAACACGCATCATTATAATGGTTTGTGTTGAGGAGACCTCTTTACGTCAGTGTCGTGCATCGCTCGCGGGATGACAGCAGTTTCTGTAACGTTCAACCAGCCTCAGGGGCGTCCTTTGCCCAATGAGCAACTCTCGACGATGACGCCCACGCCTAAGTGCGGGCGACAGTACCCACCGCATTCTGCGGCTTAAAAATCAGCGTTGTCTTGTACAGCTATGGCAAAATATTTAGCCCACATTATGGTAGAAAATTCACGAGACACCGGAACTTAAATAAAAATGTTGTGGGTGAGATGCAATTATATTTTCTTTAAATACGTGAAAGGCCACCAGAAAAATGCCAGTGGGGCCCATATTGATTGCTTAACTCTGGCACTGCAAAGATATCGGTTCAAGAGTAGGTTGATATGGTATCCCTCCTTCTTGCTTCAGGCCGAGCAGAGTGGGAGGATGGTTTCTTTTGTGTCAGCTTCGGAACCAAAGATTACCAACAATGTGTACGAGTGGAAAGTTTGAATGAGCCGTATCTATATCCCAGCGGCTCAAGGGGCCAACTGTATAATGCTGATGTTTTCGATGTCCACAAATAGGGAGAAGCTTTGCGCGGGTGTTGTTTTCTAGCCAATTCGTATGGAACAAGGTGGTCTTGACCAAGTCGTCTTTTTAAGTGACAGCACATATTTGCGTAAGGTGGAAATATGTCAGATGCTAGACGGACTACCGGAAAATAAAACCTAACTTTGAGCTAGCTAGTTAATTTGGGACGAAAACGGCAGATTCGTAAAAAAAATTGCAAAAAAAGATGCATAACTCTCTCACTTTTTAGGCGAATTAGCCTGCGATATGCCAGATTATAAACAAACTATAACTGGAAATTAAGCCTAATTTTGGAGCAGTAAACCTATAGCTGCGGCGCTTGTGTGGCGATTTGGGTCCAAAGATTCAAAAAAGAACTATGATGAAATTAAACATAACTTTGGCACTTGTTTAGCTATCTGGGATTCAAGCTTACCGATAATATCTGAACTACCAAGCAGAAAGCCTAATTCTGGCTCTTTCTTGACTATTTTCGCCAAGATTGGCCAGATGACTACGGAACCACGTCAGGTCAAACCTTACTTTGGAAGTTTTTTTGGATATTTAGGCACAAAGTTGCCTCATGGCAGACGAACGACTTGACAATAAGCCTAACTCTGGCACTTGTTTGGCGATTTTGGTTCAAAGATTTCAGATGACACCCAAACTACAATGGAGGGAATCATATCTATAGCTATGGTTTGATGAATTAGGGCTAACATGCCCAGACTGTTTTCGAAGAACGTAACGTTAAGCCCGACTTGGGCTTGTTCTGCTTTTCAAGGCATTAAACAGCAAGGCAGAAACCCAATCTTTGCCCAGACCTCTGCATATTTTGGTGTTCAAAATTTTACTAAGAAAACAAAGGGCCAGGTGAAAAACGAACTATTTATAACTAACTTGCAAAAATTGTATTAGTACTCACTCGTGGCCGGCTAAAAAAAAATGACACGTAATTTTGTGTTTTGAAAAATTCAGAGAAGAAGTTAATACATTTCGCAACGCCAAAAATTATGCATGATGGTTCAAAAATATTAAAAACGATGATTCCCACGCGGCGCCGCACAAGCGCAAGATGATTTTAAATAATGCGATTGAAGATAAAGCAAAGGGACTGAAGCGTTGCTTGTAAAATTTAAGCTTTGATTTGATAATAACTTCTTCATAGGAGGAGCATAAGAAATCGAGGTGTTGTTATTGACCCTTGCTTTTGATAATATCCCGACTGAAGAATATCGTCATAATCTATACTGTAGCATTGAAAGCAATTATTTTAATGAATGTCCGTAATAATATTTTGGTTTCTATAAAGACTAAAGCATTCTAATTTTGTTTAATGTTGTGAATAAAGTGCATGCGTTTTGTCGCGTGAATGACCAATTATAAACTATTAAATGTCACTCACCTCTGTGGATGTCGCCCCTAGCTTCTCGCTCGGCTAAGTGTGTGTAATGAACTGTAAAATAAAAAAATGCATATATCTCAGTGATCCTTTTTGAGCCAAATATTTGTTCAGGAGCGAGTAAAAGCAAAGTAGCTTGCTTCCGATTGAAAGGAATATTTCACTAGAAAAAATATGACATCTTGTATTCATTTATTTCATTTATAACACTTATCCGTAGCCTTACGTATTTTATAGGTAATCAACATACCGAAGTCAGAGTCACGTAATAAAAATAAATTCAGTGAAATAAATTTATAGCAAAAAATGCACGTGAGTTGTAAGTCTTCGGAAAATAGGATTTGACAACAACGAGAAACTAACTGCGCAGCACCGAAAAGTACAGACAATAAAGACCATATATTGAACTTAATAAGAATCTAACGTCGAAAAACCGATCATGGTTTTATTCACCTGTTGCAGAATATTTTGCCTACTTTTGTAGCCATTATTTATAACCAGATTGTGAAGTGGGTCTTACCATAATCAGCATACACTGGGATGGACGTATCATTTAACTTTGATATCCGGTGAGCAACGATTCCGTCTTTCGATCGTTGACTAGATAATACTGCCTCGATTGATAAAGTGTCAGTGAGGATACCAGTCTGCATAGGTTATTTAAAAATAAGCTATTAAAATAGTTATGGCTTAGAAGGGAGTAGTATTTTATTCGCTAATTTTATCAGTAATAACACGTGTATATCATACCACCTGGACATATCCATTCGATTCTTGGACCACAACAGAGGAGCCGTGTTTCCTGTCCTGGTACAAACTCTCTTCAATTTCCTTGAAATTCAGCTGGCAACAACGTGAGAGCATTAATTGCAGTGCTGCGAACGTCGTTATAAACACGTTTTCTTCAACCCTTAACGGCATCGTGAGCTATTTCGACATAAAATTATCTCCCAAGAAGCCATGAACCTACACTTTGACTATGCGCAGTGTCCCAATATCACATAAATGTAGGCGGCATATGAATTTCAAACATCAGGTCAGCACATTGTTAAAAATCAAAAGCGCAAACAGCAAGGAAAAGAAACGTTGACAGGACAAAGCGCTAAGTCCTGTCCCCTCTTTTTTCCGCTGCTGTTGGCGCTTTTCATTTTTAACATTATATACCCAACTAACCCTAACTGTTCATTTTGATTCAGCATCATGGCAGTGCCAAATTCGGATCAGTGTTAATGATTTCGTCATAAGTGTGCAATATATATATTTTTAAAACGATTATTTTGGCTTTAAAACATACCATAAACACACACAACGAAAGCTTGATTAACTTTAATGAGACCGAACAGCTTGGGCACCCTTCAGGACACGTCACTCCAATTTTCAATAAAATCTTAGACAATGAACTAAACCAGTCCTTATCAATCGTAACCATCCGTTCGGCAACACGATGATTGCATTTCTGGGACATGGCAAAAGCCATTTGTACATGCAGTTGTGATGATCACAGCTCAGATCTTAAGTTTACACTATACGATTCGGATGTTTTTGCAGGCAGAACGGGAAGTTTTATTTGGGATTGACAATGACCCCGCAGAAGCCAACCGAAGAATATACGCACCATTCCAATAATCACCTTCTCCCGTAGAGGTTTTTTTCCTACTCGGCGTTTGCACGCCGTCTTAGCATTTGCAGTAAATATCTTCGTCTAAATATCGAATGTCGCATATATGTTTACAGCCTAGTGACCCATGATATGCGGCATATCAGGTAAGTGCTAGAAAATAGTAAATAAACTTGAACCCCCGAAAGCTTAACCAGGAAGGATGATATACTTTGCGTAAAAACACTGTTTCAAATGTGTAAAAACATCACTTTGAACGCGCTGTAAAATAGGTAGGCGGCACCAACAATTCTCACAAAGAAACATAAACATATGTGCCGAATGTCATTCATAACGTACAATTCACGAATGCAGATAAGCATGGTGCGAGGAAGGGGGTTATTTTCGGATAAGTGTGACATTGACAGTTTCAACAACTGCATAGAAACGCACTAACCCAAGTCTATTTTAACATATAAACCTACTTCAATTATATGTACTTATATAATATATATAATACTGTTGGAGTCGTTTACATCGTCGCCCTTGGTGAAAGTGAAGTTTTCGGCGAACACTTTGCTCTTTTCTAAGCTCAGAGTAAGCCCGTCTCGGATGTGGAGCATCTTCTCGCCATTTGCACCTCTCGCATGGAGAATTCTCGGATAAACACACTCTTTTACACGCAGTTCTGTAAAGAGCGAATTTGTCATAGTTAGATATGATCAACGTTGAACCTCGAGGGTCGAAGACATTCCGAGCAAAAAAAACAACGTTCCAGTATTCACAAGTTTGTACAAAGTCCTGCTTGTTGGAGGCGGGCGAAAAGCAATGCGGAACAATTTCGTTTCCCCTTTCATCAATAAAGTGTGCCTATTTTATTTCTGGTTTGCCCAATTTGTTACCTAATACTAGAACAAATTCAGCACTAGAACTAAATGAAAAATCAAGCGTATGAGCGAACGGCGTATCGGAGAAAATTACTTTCAGAATCAGAAAAATGCATGGTATTCAAATAATTCATCTTTTTAGTTACTTTAACGCACATACAGGATTACTTTGACGGGTTACCATTATCGAAATAATTATTCTCATTGATTCCATAAATGTTAGTAAGCTAGCAGATAGTTGTCTAAAAACAAAAATGCCTAAAGTATGAAAATTAGGTTGTACGAAAGCTCTCATTAAATCGTCGACATAAACTACCAAATTCATGCTATATATGTTTGTACGCACGTCAACATGTCACTCACCTCCAAAGCATACAGTTAGCATTACTGTGAGTACAAAACACACGCCTTCAGACATTGTGAAGCGAACAGCTACTGCTGGTAAAATATTCTGCGGGCTTTGCGGGTATTTATAGAGTACTGAAATGTCTGCATAAACTGTGAAGGTCTTCCTTCATTAAATTCAGAAAAGACTGCGCCACAGCGAAATACATAAAAGCATAAAGTATTGAACTTTTTTTTTAACTGGGATTTTTTTCTTACGTTATACTTTTTAGAGCGCGATGGTGAGGACAGCACGTTCCTTCTTCTTTTCCAATATTAATCATGATGCCAGAAACTTGTCAGCGCAACGCACCTGCCTTCTCGTCACAAAAATGAATGTTCACTCTAATTTTGTGACACGAATATGAAGAAAATTAATCTTACACTGACGTAAAGAAATGTTAAAGGAAGGATCCGAACAACGTGCAAAACGCCGAGCTCATGCGAAAGGTCGCGGTATGCGGTTTTAGAATGACTGGGGTACGTTAACGTGACATACTCTTCAAATGCACGCAGAGTAAAACTACACTGTCAACGAAACGTCACATCTTTAATTTCAACTGTCATTCTCAGGCAGTTCGAGCAAATATCATTTCAGCACAAGCTGCATCGTGGAAAATGGAATGCCCTTATCACCGCTCCTCCTAGACGACGAGGATAACTGCAATAATACTTAAAAAAACAAGCGAGCTGGTGATGATTCATGGTAATAAAACCCGAGACTGAGGCTTTTGACGGTTTGTATTTCTGCTTCCTTTATCATTATTTTAATAAAATGAAGACTAATTTTGCACGGCTGCAATTTTATATGAATCATTTGTTAATTTCCTTGCAGCAAGATCTCAATATAAAAAAAAAAACATGATTTAGGTAAGGTTATTGTGATTAGTGGGAACCAAGCTAATTTCGTTTTGGAGGTTTTAATTTTCTTTTTAGTACATTGGCCGCCCGACAGCGGTCCAGCTTTCACCGAAAACAATTTATTTTGGCTCAGAAGACCGAATCTTGCTCTAGTAGCAAGAATAATGCTCGTTAAAACCTTCTAAAGTGTTGACGTTGATCATATCTTTAAAATACAGACCATATCGTATATACATTTGTATATATATATATATATATATATATATATATATATATATATATATATATATATATATATATATATATATATATATATATATATATATATATGCATGTTTATATGCCCAATGATCTTTTAGTTTAAATCTGTACACTTCGTAATGCACTTATTTCATAAATCGTGCATTTCAAATTAACATTAATCTTACGTTATATCAATCGGGAGAAGTTGCTATTGAAAGATGCAGCAATACATTATGCCACAAACAGGTTGCTAGGCATTTACTGTGGAAGCATGTGTCAGAATTAATAAAAGTATACCCATATTTTTTATCTGCACCAAAGTTTTAAAAGAATTGAGAGGGGCATTTGTACACTTTTTAGTTTTTGGATTACAGTATTTTTTCGTCTGTAACTTGACTTTTTTTTAAATTTCCCTCACCTAATTTGTGGGTTCGCCCTAAATTCGAAACGCCTCAAAATTTGCCTTGGCGGTTTTGTGGCACAGGCTCTTTAATATAACTACGACAAATTTAGCGATCTTTCAATCTTGCGCTGGCGACATATGCACGCTGGCAGCAGCCGATCCAATCCTATTCGTGTTTCCGACTCCTCGCGCTCATGTTAGGGTTAGCTTACTCATGTGCCCGAGCACCACTGAGTTGACTGAGTTTCGCGGGCTGTTGCGTCGTGCTTCCGCGACTGGACTCGAGCAAATGGCAACGCGACGAGCTCAGTACGAGGCCCGCCTTAAAAGAAGTGCAATTGTGATGGCTGAGGAAATCGGAAGCTCTGCCGCGGCTCGACGGCTAGATGGGACAGAATCGACTATCCGTGGGTGGAGGCTCCAGCGAGAAGCGCTCTTCAAGTGTGAGCTCGGCCGAAAATGCTTCCACGTTCCTCGTTGTCGCCGTCACCGATGGCGAAAGCGACGAGTAAACTCATTTTAATTTTAGAAAATGCAGGTGTTGGCCACTATGTGCCACAATTGAAGGTACTTTTTTCCCCTCACTTTACTTGCGTTACATTCGTGTCCTTTTTTTTTTCTTTTTGGCGCTGTGAAAAGTCACCCCTCGAGTTACAATGGACTTTTTCCGAGAAGCGTTCTGCGCACGCGCGAGCGCCCGATGCCAAGCGGCGGAAGTCGGAACGAAAAATCGAGGAAATTCGGAAGGAGGATGTGTATCAGCGAGTAGAACACGTAACCGCAGTATATATATAATTGTGTTACACAAAAAAAAAACGTCGACGGAAAGGAAAACACGACGTTTGGGTGGACGCCACGGATGTCCCTCTTTCAAGTCCCGTTGGGCAGGCGCCGCTGCTCGGATAGCGAAACAACTGGTAGCGTAGCTCCCAATATCGATTGGTAGCGCAGGTAGGTCACTTCCTCAATTTTTAGTTCGTGCAGCCACCACCTGGTGCCGTCGGTATTTGGAAAAGGTCCATTGTGGACGCGTTACATTCGAGTAAATACGATACATTACCCGACTTGGCCACGACTGGAAACGAGATTGTTTTTGGAATTAAGCGGCTATCTTAGTAGTATATCTCAAGAAAGCTCTTCAATTAATGACCTTACAGAGCATATTGCCGTTACAAAATTGATGTCCAACCTCGAGGCTGTATGCTGCAACCGCAAGCTGAAATACACTTGTAAGCATTTGGGCAATTCTGGCTAAATTTTTTCAGTTGTTTAAGCTTCCTTAAACCTAAACTAATTTAAAAATGAGCGATAATCCCGTCACTATCTCTGCCCTCGCGTATCCTCACAGTAACGATTTCACATGTGATGTGGGTGTCAGCTTTCGGTGTAAGCTGTAAAAGTTTGCGGATGCTGTCGGCGCCGACTGTGGTGTGATTTCTTGGGCAGAGGCTGCGGATTACTTTTCTTTGATCGATACCTAACGTTATTTGCTCGGTGGTGCAAAACAGCTTGTTTTGTATCGATAAAAAGGCAAGTATCCCAAATCGTTGTCTGCGTGTTGAGATGACGAGGAAGAAATGAAAGGATTACAGCAGGCGCCAAAATTTAAATTTTACACCAAAAGCACAAACAAAAAATGAACACACTCCAATAGTACCGGCGGGAGTGCCCCCCTTCTGGTGAAGTCATAACTCTGAGGTTACGTGGGGGCAGAAACAGTGGGATGGCTGTCGCTCTTTTCTAAATTAGTTTTGTTTAGACTTAGCTCTGGATCTAATATAATTTAGCCGGTAACGCCCAAATGCTTACATGTTGATTACAGCATTCTGTTGGAGCATACATCCTGGAGCATGGACATCAATATTGTAAATACGATATGCCCTCTACAACCATTGATTAAAAGTTAATTTAAATATGTCTTTTAATTAGTCCCTTATTTGCAGCAACAACTTGGTTCTAGTGGTTACAAGTCGGGTAAGCGACTACAAAAGATAAGTTATCCTAATGCCACTCATATTGTTTTTAGAAATTGGCTGCGGCTGAAAAAAACACCCTGTATATTATCTTACCTTTGGACTTCTAATTGGGAGAGAGAGAGGGAGATAATAGTCTTCACACTATAAACGAGCAGAAGCTGTTTTCGTATCATGGTGTTTTGTCCCATCAGTCCAGGAGACTATGGTCCTCGGTTGCCCGTTGGGCCCTGTCGATCAGCTCGGTTTGTTCACCTGCGTCCACGATGGTCAACTGGTTCTCCCAGTGCTCTCTGGTGAGTCTCACTATGCGTTGTATCAACGGGCTGCCCTGGCATCCACACGCCATGGGATAAAGGTTGTTGGGCACCTTGGAAGACTTGCAGTCATATTCGAAGCAGGCTGGATTTCTAAGGGGTATAAGGTACTATGTGCATAAGTGTTGTTTTACAGTTGCCTCAAAGAAACTGCTTCCTTTCTGGGTAGCTTTTTCTGAGGTTTTAGGTAGACCCTTCTTCGTAATTTGTAGTGTTCTAGTAGCTCTGCACTCCTTTTGGGTACGCCTTCGTACGGGAGCAACAGGTCTAGATCGTTCGGCAGAGAGGCACGGCGAGCGTAATCTCGAGCCAAAGTATAATATATACTGTGTGCCACTGTTAGTGCTAATTCGAGATCGGCAATTTTTTGGCATTTTGCTCAGAGTAGTACCCATTTTTATTGGTTAGCCTCTTGGTGCACCAACTAAATTCTTTCTGTACCGGCAGATTGCAGACACCTGCAATCTGCCGGTACACTGTACGCTCATGCACAGTGAGTGTATGAACTGGGGTTGTATCCCCAGTCGACACTAGTTAAGCATGAGGGTAGAATAATCTTTACATTGCAGTGGTATTTTCTTATAGTCTTCACAGTTGAATGTGAATATTCGACAGAAATCTCTCAGGTTGGGGCGAAACAAAGTTAAACGAACGCGTTTGATATTTTGCCTTAATTAGGCAAACCTCCGAACGACGGGGGAACGCGTTTATTATTTTGCCCTAATTAGGTGCCTCCGAACGGCCGGGGAAAATATGGCCCTCCGGTTGGGACAAACCAACAAAGTATTGGTTGGTGAGGCTGGCCCTTATATTTTTCTCTCAGGAGTATCCCACAAATTACGACCCGGTCAATATCAGAACCTTGCGCACACAATCTGCAAGCATGGATCTAGGTATGAAGGAGCCTTTTACCATGGCAGACCTACTGGGCGCACTATTCTCAATCACAAAGTTGTACGGTGCCCCGGGACCCAACATGATCACTGCTTCAGCCATGGGCTACCTTCCAGAAGCTGCTATGCAAGAACTCCTGGGCGTTTGCAATAGGGCCTGGGACATGGGCCAAATTCCCACCACCTGGCGCCACTCCACGGTTACACCTATCCCATGCCCGACCGAGAACTGAGTCGGCTTTCGAACCATGCGGCCCATTTCTTTGACTTCACATGCAGGTAAGCTCATGGAGAGGATGGCGCTGTTGCGGCTGGAATGGCACGTTTTAGGTAAACCACGTCCT